TGGCCTCTGGGCCTTGTGCACGCTGAAAGAAAAAAGAAGTAGTCTCTTTGAATAATAAGATTCGAACCTGAGGTCTCACGAACGTTCTAACAACTCGATCACGCGGTCCTTATATCAAGAACTGAGAGTCGGTGGACGTTCGACAGTCGAGAAGGAAATGTGAGGAGAGACTGAATGAATTGAGTTGAGAGGCTTCTTTCCACAAACCAATTGTCTGTGGAACGGACTTCCAAGAGGATATTTCTCTGATCATTGCAAATCTTAACCTGTTAACCTTATCTACCCGTTTACGTAACCCTCGACAGCGAGTGGGCCCGGACCTTGTACAGGGTGAACCTTACTGTAAAAATAAATAAATAAATGAAAATAAAAAAAAAATATCATGTACTATTAAAATGTCATAAAATATCCATTGAACCTTTCAAGAATTTAAGAAATTAAATATTTTCATGATAAAATAATAATATTCAACTAAACTTTACTATTGAAATCTTTTATCTTCTAGGAGCAATCAATAAATCAAGAAAATTCATGAAAAATGAATGTTTTTGGATGCAATTTTCAGCGCTTAAAATCTCTCATCTACACCTATCTTTTTTCACAGCTAGAACCTACCATGCCAATTAGATTATAACAACCCCCACCTAGTTATTCCATCGTTAAGAAGTAACTAGAATCGGAACCTGTTCAAGTCTAGAGTTAACCCTTATCTTCACCTCCTATCAATATTAACTTCCCCTTATCGTAAACCTCTACCTCGAGTGACTCCCGGGCCTTGTACAGAGTGAGCCTCACGGTAAAAAAAAAGTCATATCAAAAAGTCATAGAATATCTATTGAACCTTTGAAATTTTCCCTTTTATTTTTGAAGTCGTGATAAATGGACGTTATTATTCTTCCTTAGATTATCTTCCACAGAATCTTATGGTATTCGAAATCCTCTGGGTTTAAAAAAAAAATAAGGAAAAATTGCATTTATTTATTTATGGAAAAGGTATTTTTAGAATGTCGAAAATGCTTGCGATATTAAATCAACGATGGAGGAAGTGTATTTAATATTAAACAGTATTTGATCTTACCAATAGTCTTTGAACTGTAGCCTTCAGCACGACTTAATTTTTTTTATTTGTCTTTGTTTTTTGGGGTGACGAATTATTTTCCTCCATCCAACGTCTCTCTCACAGGCGGGGTGTGGCGAATCTCTCACTAGTCTATAGCTAATTCTACGGAAAGTTCTCAGACGAACTACATTCCTTGATTCCGCTAGGCCTAACCTTCACAGCTCGGACCCGCAATGCCAATTACATTATAACAACCTCTCCAGTTATTCCATCGTTAAGAAGTAACTAGAATCGGAACCTGTTCAAGTCTAGAGTTAACCCTTATCTTCACCTCCTATCAATATTAACTTCCCCTTATCGTAAACCTCTACCTTGAGTGACTCCCAGGTCCTATACAGAGTGAGCCTCACTATAAATAAAAAAAATGATATCAAACAGTCATAGAATATGTATCGAACCTTTGAAATTGTCCCTTTTATTTTTGAAGTCGTGATAAATGGATGTTATTATTCTTTTACAGAATATTCAACTTCTTGCATTATCGTCCGAAGACTTTTATGTTGCCAGAAAAAAAAAATTCTGGTTAACGAAAAAGATGAGGAAAATGACATTTATTTATTTATGGAAAATGTATTATTAGAATGTCGAAAATGCTCGCGATATTAAAACAACAATAGGGTAAGTGTATATATTTACTAAAACAAAAAATGGAATTTTCGGCAATCAAACAAATATCTTGGAATTTCTTGCATTATTTACATTATTCGGACTGTCATCCTAATCTTCATTGCCATATTCACAACGTTTCGGCTGTTGTACGCTCCGGCCTTCTTCAGGTGAGTGGAATTTCGAACCGAACACTTTATTTCGTCTACCGGATGTGTGTGTGTGTGTGTGTGTGTGTGTGTGTTTAGAGTGTTCTCGTTCCACGAGCCATGCCTCTTCTTAGTTATTTCCCTTTAACTCAACTCTCCAAGTTTTGGGTTCACAACTGCTGTGGTCTGGTATTGAACTCACAACTCTTTGGGTCTAGTCACTGGATCTAACCAACGTCTTTTACCTCCATGTGTCACCTGGAACTAGCTCGTTCTATCCTGTTGGACGAAATATAGGATTCGGTTCGAAATTCCAATCACCTGCAGAAGGCCGGAGCGTACAAAGGCCGAAACGAAATGAGGATGAGGATAACAGTCTGAATAATGTAAATAATGCAAGTCATCATGATACCTCATCTCAGAGATATAGACAGATATATCATCTCAACGGCCGAGATGAATAAGGCGATGAAGATGAGGATAACAGTCTGAATAAGATATATCATCTCAGAGACATAGACATAAAGGCCTGAGCGTACAACGGCGGAAACGTTGTGAATAAGGCGATGAAGATTAGGATAACAGTCCGAATAATGTAAATAATGCAAGTCATCATAATACCTCATCTCAGAGATATAGACAGATATTGAAGAATCGATACGGATCCGATATACCAAAAATATGGAGACAACTAGAAAAGTCCCAGTAGAAGCGACGTTGTGAATATGGCAATGAAGATAAGAAAACAGTCCGAATAATGTAAATAATGCAAGTCATCATAATACCTCATCTCAGAGATATAGACTGTCAGTTCAACTTATTTTCTTTAATAATTCAAATGTTAATACAGTGGATACTTTGTATTTGAAATAGAAGCCCTGTTTTTATTTATTACGTCTATCGACCTGCGAATTCGAGAAATCTTTATTAAAGCAAAATGCATCCCTCGGCAGGGTTCGAAACTGCGTCTCCTTTTGTAAGGGAAGATGCCGTTTCATCCAGTGTGCTTTACCGTTCAGTCACGGAGAATCATTGAGCAAACAGGATTTCTATTTTCCGTTTTTAAGGAGGACACATCCTCTTCATCCAGATCATTTTTCTAGAAAGTTCCTCTGTTCCGCATCCTTTGCCGGCCGTGGAGTGATTGTTCGTAATGACGTTTTACAAATCTGTCTTTTCTGTAGTGACGTCAATCCTCATCGGTTTCCCCATTAATAAGAGTGTCTCCGATAAAAAGAAAAAGCTTAACAAATATTACTCTGGCCGCTTGAATCGTGGCTAAAAAGCTCGTCTGTTAGACGATTTCCTAGTCTAATGGCATCCGTCCTAATTGGATACACTCCAGGTATCCAATGAGGATGGATATCCTCTAAGAAAACAAAATTTATAAATCTCTCTTTGAACAATCATCATAGAGCAATAAAGACAGACATCTTGGAATTTATCAAATAGAAACCACGAGAATATGAGAACGGATTTGTTTTATATCAGAGAAAGCATTTTTAGGTACATTTTAACAAAAAAAGAAAAATGACAAAAGAAACAATTACGTCAAATTAATCATTTATCTATCGTTTTTTTTCACATTATCATTTTTTTCACATTATCATTTTTTTCACATTATCTTTTTTTCACATTATCATTTTTTTCACATTTTCATTTTTTCCCATTATCTTTTTTCACATTATCATTTTTTTCACATTTTCATTTTTTCCCATTATCTTTTTTTCACATTATCATTTTTTTCACATTTTCATTTTTTCCCATTATCTTTTTTCACATTATCATTTTTTTCACATTTTCATTTTTTCCCATTATCTTTTTTCACATTATCATTTTTTTCACATGTTCATTTTTTCCATTATCATTTTTTTCACATTTTCATTTTTTCCCATTATCTTTTATCACATTATCATTTTTTTCACATTTTCATTTTTTTCCCATTTCTTTTTCATTATCATTTTTTCCATTATCATTTTTTTTCACATTTTCATTTTTTTTCCCATTATGATTTTTTTTTTCATTTTATCATTATTTTTTCATTATCATTTTTCATTTTCATTTTTTTCACATTATCTTTTTTTTCACATTATCATTTTTTTTCACATTTTCATTTTTTCCCATTATCTTTTTTCACATTATCATTTTTTTCACATTTTCATTTTTTCCCATTATCTTTTTTCACATTATCATTTTTTTCACATTATCTTTTTTTCACATTATCATTTTTTTCACATTATCATTTTTTTCACATTAACTTTTTTTCACATTATCTTTTTTTCAAATTATCATTATTTTCACATTATCATTTTCACATTATAATTATTTTCAAATTATCATGTTTTTCACATTATCTTTTATTTCACATTATCTTTTTTTCCGCATTATCATTTTTTTCACATTATCATTTTTTTCACATTATCATTTTTTTACATGATCTCTTATTCACATTATCATTTTTTTCACATTAACTTTTTTTCCCATTATCATTTTTTTCACATTATCTTTTTTTCACATTATCAATTTTTTCGCATAATCATTTTTTCACATTATCTTTTTTTTTCGATATTATCATTTTTTCCGCATTTTCATTTTTTTCACATTATCTTTTTTTCCCATTATCTTTTTTCCCATTATCTTTTTTCACATTATCTTTTTGTTTCGCATTATCATTTTTTTCACATTATCTTTTTTTCATTATATCATTTTTTTTCACATAACCATTTTTTTTTATATTATCTTTTTTTTTTTCACATTATCTTCTTTTTTCTTTTGCCGTTCACAACCTTTTGGTTGTCGTCTGCTCTGAAATATGCCGGAGAGTATAGCGGCTGAAACTCCGTAACAGGAAAGTACAAAAAAAAAAAAAAAAATTCTGGAAACATTCAGACGAAAATTATGTCCCTTAGATATTTTGATACAAGAGAATTCTATTATTTATTTTTTTTTAGGGTCTTTCAAGCAATTTCCCAGCAATAATCTGTAAAGAGAACCAGAATAAAGTCAACAGGAAAGATTTGAAATGCCTCTATTTTGGTTTTTTGTTAGGCTTTCAAGCAATTGTGACTATTTCACGCCGTTTAACTGGAACCAGTTCAAAGTTTACGCTTCTAACGCGCACGTACAATCGTCTTTTCAGGTCATTTTTAACGGGCTTCACCAGACGCATTTCAGGAATATTAACGCCATACAGAGAGCACGCCATGTGTGTACCTAGTTCATTATAAATACTGACAAAAGAGAGACAGTGGTCATTGTTCCTGCAGGAATCTGCACATTCTTTCAATTGGTCCTGGTCATTCTCCAACCCTGTCAGCACCTTCTGAGATACCGGCTGATAATTTTTGTCGGGCAAAAGTTCTCGGATAACGACGAAAGAGTCTGGCGTGTTGGTATTGGTCTTGGTCTTGTTCTTTGCGTAAACGTCCCAGTCAAAACGGTCAACTCCGGCTGTCGTTTCATTCTTTGTCGGCTTCAGACGGGACAAGTGGCACATATTCAGAGCTCTGTTATACTGTATCGAACGACAGAATACATTTGCCGTACACTTATTTTGGCACTGAGTTGCTGTGACACCGGTTCGATGTTCCAGGACCCCGTGAAAAGGCAGCATCCTATTCTCGTGCTTAATGTAAACACTAGACCCAAAGTCTTGTTTTTGCAAGATGTCTTCCGGTTGCAGGCGGTGGTAGAAGCTAAAGCCTTCATTGGACACAAACTGCATGTCCTGGAAGCTGTGGGTTGATAGAGAGCATAGCATGTCCTGGTAGGAAACTCCGTGACAATTGCTGTAGACTTCGCATAAGTCATAACATAGTTTGCGGGTTGGCGTTAGATGTCGCCTGAAGAAAGAACTATTCGACGGCGCCCGTTCGTGCAGTGGCATGAAAACAGAGACGTTGCGAACCTTAATCCCGGCGGAGTCCGATTCCCAACGGCTAACGATATTCTCCGCTACGCAAAAAATACCACGATATGACGTCATCATGAGAAACCTTCCTCGAATTACAAACGTTTGGTTCTTACCGTTCAGCTTCCTCCTCTCAATAAACGGAAAAACCTCGCCGTTTTCTATTTGGATGTAAAGCAAGAGGCTGAAGGTCGAATTCTCAGTGGCATCAAAGCTACAAGAGAATTCCAATTCATGATCAAGAAGGGCCGGAACTAACCAAATCATGCTGGAGATATCAGCCTCGGGCTTGTTAATGTGAATTTTCTCGCCGCTATAATGCAGCGTCGGTTTTGACACAGGGTAGACCACTTGCGGATACTGGCGTTTATGAAACACCATATTTAGTTCCGGCGTTGAAGAGGCGTTTGAAGAAGGAAGAGAAGCGTACCAGGCGCATATCACCCGGAAAGCGTCAGAAGCGTTACCGTAAACCGGATCTATAACGAGGGTAAGAGATTTGCCATCAGGGTCACAGCCGACATAAAACCTCCGGGACGAGTGTAAAGCGTAATCGATTACAGTGCAGTTTATGTCAAGCTGGATAAAAGCCGTGTAATCGGTTTCATTTCCGGTTCTAAACGTCTTACTTCCGTTTCCGTTTTCAGTTGCCGGATGAACGATTAATACGTTTTGTGTACCGTTTCCAAACGGGCAGGTAGCCACGAGCGTGGCTTCTCGATAAGCCGGTCGAATTTTTGCGAGCGTATTTTCAGAGCCCTCGACGACTCGCGTCTTAATGCTCACGGAGTCGCTGCGAACGGCAAAACCGTATCGGTCAAAGGCGGAACAGTAAACTTCGGTTCCGTGATCATCAGCACCGACTCGCTGGACTGAGAAGGTTGTTAGTTTGGCGCTCAGATTACAAGAGAACTGCATCCGGTCCACAGCTGGCGTTGTTGCTATCATGAGGTAAGTACGACATTCGTCAGGCCTGATGACGATCTTGCCAATGCTGACGTGGTCCATCTCGACAATCCAGTGCAGGACGCGCGCATCGATGTTTCTGAACGAGCAGACGGCGCGAAATGTTCCGTTTATCGGCACGGGACTAATCGTTGATTCGTTTCGTAAGAGCTCGATAGACATCGGCATTTTCCGTGTGACCTTAATCGTAACCGATTCTCTTGGTATTGTTGGATCGCGTAAAACACTACAATAGACTTGACTTTGGTTATCAGCCTCTTGAATTGGCCTGATCAACAACACGCTATCTTCTTGCCATTCCCTCTTGAAGATATACGCCCTTTTACCAAATTTCGAAACACCCTGCCACTGAATCTTGTCGGAGCAATTGTTCGTTAGACCGTTACAGCTTAACAAACGGCATTTTGCGTAAAACGTTCCGTTTATCGGTACAGAATATTTCCCGGCAGAGATTAAAAGATTGGTAAAACGTCCACTGTCAGAAATTGCGAGCCTGTTGCTTTCGATTCTTGAAGCGGCGGCTCCATCTTTGTTGTCGATTTTTGCATAACAAAAGATGGCTGTTCCGACAGGAAGCGATTGAACCGTTATTGTGGACGCAATGTCAGAAGGTCCATGGCAGTTGAAATCAATTCTCCTGTAGACCGGATCACGGACTTTGTACCGGAAACAGAATTCCACAACCATCCCACCGAACGTTGATTTATTCTTTGCGGCACCATCCGTCGCCCAGAATAAGAACTTCGGCTTCAACGACCTGTCCACACGACACGTGGCCCTGAGAACAGTACCAGCGCCGGTTGGTTGGGCCTTGTCACCAGAATCCTCTATTTCAAGGGTTACTAATCTAGGTTTCCCGACGATGAGGGTCACTTCATTGCTCCGAGCGTTGTCGTTGTGGCCGGAGGTGCAAGAGAATCGAAGCCCGTTGTATTCTGGCCGGACCTTGTCGATAAGTAGTCTCATCGGGCCACCGTCTAGATCGCAGGTGACCTGACCGGTCAGGCCTCGTAGACCGGTCTTGAAAGCAAGAATGCTGTTGGAGTCATCGAAGCTGAAAGGAGAACAAGTCTTGAGATCGACCCCGCCGAAGTTGGCGTTAATTTCTTGGTCGCCGTGTTTATTGTGGCGGGTGTGGACGGTCCAGTAGAGAAATCGGTCGACATCAACGTGCTCGTAATGGCAAAGGGCGTGAAATGTTTGACCTGTTGCGACGAGACGTTGGGACGAAGCTCTGAGTTCAGCACAAGTGGCACGAAGAAGGTAGAAGCAGAGGAAGGCCACAAGAGGAGTTGCCTTTAGTGACATTGTAGTTGATTTTTTGAGAAGAGAGAGAGAGAGAGAGAGAGAGAAGTGAGAAGAAGTGTTTGAAGATACGGATATATATATATATATATATATATATATATATATATATATATATATAAGGAAATGGATTAAGTCTGAAAATTACTTAATATATTTTCTGTTTGTACGTTAATTTTATAGATATGGAGAGAGTGAGACAGAGAGAGAAAAAGAGAGATATAAATAGAAAGAGACAGAGAGAGAAAGATAGAGAGAGAGAGAGAGACTTATTTTATAAAGAAAAGGAGAGAGAAGAAATAAGTAAAGAAAATAACTCAGTGGAGAGAGAATATAGAGAGTGAGAGAAGGAGAGAGAAGGAGAGAGAGAGGAGAAGGATATTAGAGACAGAAAGAGAGAAGAAACTGTAAAGAAAAGTGTTTGAATATACAAGAGTGAGAGGTATTACTAATTTCACAAATAACGGGACATAAAATATTAGAGAGACAGAAACTGAGAGAGAAAAAGAGAAAATGTAAATAAATATATATATAGATATATATATATATATATATATATATATATATATATAGAGAGAGAGAGAGAGAGAGAGAGAGAAAAAGAGAGAGAGAAAAAGGAGAAAGTGTCTGAATGTACAGAGAGAGAGAGAGAAAGGGAGGGTAATCTAATATATATATGTATATATATATATGGCTAAAAATTAATGAACTTGCTTCAGACAATAATAGACACGTCGGACAATTTTTACTGATATATATATATATATATATATATATATATATATATATATATATATATATATATAAGCAGTACAATCAAAAGTTTAAAGAAACTACAGAGTTAATATGGGATTAATTTGACAGAAGTGAGAAAAAAAAATGCAGAAAGTGCTCTTAGAGTAACTGAAAAAAAGAATGGAATCAAATATCAAACTTATACTTTGAGAAACTTTTGTAGCGAATGCAAAAAAATTGTACTGCGGTCATCGAGGCTGACGAAGGTCATTTTGAGAGAAAAATTTAATTATAATTTTTTTTTTTTTGTCATAATAAAATTTCTAATAAGAAATCATGGCTCACTCTTTTTTTTTCTTAATAACAATGTATGATAATTTTCTCTTCTTTAAAATACAAGACAACTACTTTGGGGGCCAATTTAAAAAAAATTAGAAGTGTGGTCTCTTTAAACTTTTGAACTGAAGTGTACATATATACAAAACTTCGACTTGTGTGTTTTTGTTTTTGGCATCGAGTGGGTAGCAGTTGATTTCAATCCACTGTTTATTTTTTTCCGAGGTGATCCAGTTCGGTGATTGAAAATTGAAGCCACGGATATGCTCGCTGAGATGGCAGAAGATTACAGAGATATGTGAGATTTTACGAGTACAAGAGTACAACACGGCCTTGGCGGTCACCAGGTCGAAATTCTTGCTCTTTTCATGTATCCAGTCTTGTCAGCGCCAATATTTTATTTTCCTTCTCTCAGGTACGTAGATTTTACAAAGTAAACAAATGTTCGTCTTTGGTAAGAAGCAATTTCGTGGCGGCTGCAATGTAGAAAAAAATTGTTCAATTAAAAAAGATAAAAAAAAGAAGAAAAAACTAACTACTGTATTTTCCGGTTTACAAGACGCACTTTTTTCGTAAAAAAATACTCTGAAAAAATACCCTGAAAAATACACGGGCGTCTTCCAGTTTAAATTCCAGTCGAATCCATTACATTCACTTACGTGCTAATACTCTTGGGAAAGGTATGAATCCTCTTCTTCTCCCTCCAGCTATGGGTAAAATAGCAGGACAGACTGGGTTCTATAGCCTTGGATGGCAACTAGTGTAGGAGAAGGAAAACTCTGACTTCAAAACCTGCGGAGGGTCGTTTTGGGGACCTTGTGGCACTTAGTGCACCAGGTCTCTGTATTCGGGCCTTCAAAAAGGGTGGATGGTCCTGCACGAAACCTTCACCACTATAATCAAACCTCATGTACTGGTGTCTGGGTTGTCGGTTTCCTAGGAACTGAGCTGTTTGACCCTCATAGGTCGAATACAACGGGAGAATCCATCATATATATATATATATATATATATATATATATATATATATATATATATATATATATATACCTAAATGTAAAAGAACGAAGAGTAAGATTTTAGCGCTCAAAACATTAATTTAAAACAGGGCTCAATAAATATAAAATTAGTACAATAAATATTTATTTATTATGCACTGTTACATTAGAACATACACATAACCACTACAAAACAATATATCTTGTTTCAACGTGTTTCAAATTTTTTTTAACGTTTCATCAGGTGGGAAATCACGATGCTACTAAAATATTTTATTCCGAAATGCAGTTAACGAAGCACGTCTTCCACTTCCGTCACTGGAAAGTTTCCCATAAAAGCTAAATTTCCCATTAGTAGCATCGTGATTTCCCATCTGATGAAACGTTAAAAAAGATTTTCAATGTTGAAACAAGTTGTGCTATCCGAGGTTTTTTACCAACCGAGTAATACTACTAGTTAATGATATATATATATATATATATATATATATATATATATATATATATATATATATATGTGTGTGTGTTGTCAGCAGTCAATATACCACATAACACCCTTGAGCGCTTAGCCTTGGGGCGGGTAGAATGGAGATCAACGTGTTTTAGTGGACTCAGCAGTTTTCAATCTGCTTGTCTGAATCATCTTCAAGAAGCGAGAGCAAGATTTAAAAGGTCAGCCAATCTAGCAGTGATCTCATCGCACAATCCTCACACTTGCTCCATATGTGGCCTACTTTGTAAATCACTAGCGGGTCTTAAATGCCACTTAAGATTATCGCACAAAATTTCATAACTGAATCAATGAAGTTGTCAAATCCTCATATGTCGAAACGGACAGGAGAGAGTCCATTTAACAATTATTTTACACACACACACACACACACACACACACACATATATATATATATATATATATATATATATATATATATATATATATATATATATATATTGTATTGGGCCAGCAATTATGTTTGATTATGAGCCGTTCTAAATTTCGTATATTTGCATTAATTTCGGGTGTAAATAATGACAAAAGTTGTCCAAAATTTGGATATTTTTTTTATTAAGTTGGTTCTTGATCTAAGCTTTCGACTCACACATGAGTCATCTTCAGAGTGGTCGTGCGGACATGTAAACAAAGATATTCACCATCAAAGATGATATTCTGTTATGTTGACATAAAGGGTTGCTATGCGACGACAACGGTCGCGGAATAGCAGAGGTAAAGTCATGATACAAAGACTGAAATATTAACAAAAAGAACCATATGTCTAGATGCAATGTAATGCATTGTGACTAACTTGAAATGTAATTTTGCTAAGTGCGAGTTGTTTTGTTTTAATGTAGATAGCCACCAATATATATATATATATATATATATATATATATATATATATATATATATATATATATATATATATGTTTGTGTGTGTGCGTGTTTGTAGGATGTATAATAGTATCCAAAACCAAAGAGAATATATATATATATATATATATATATATATGTGTGTGTGTGTGTGTGTGTGTGTGTGTGTGTGTGTGTGTGTGTGCCGGATGAAACAGCAAAAGTCCAAATCATGTAAAAGCAAACTTGTCAATTTGTTAGATTAAGCTTTGAGCCGTTGTATCTTGGAAATGATTAAAGATATCTTACTGGAATTCTCCGAGGTTTTATAACACGATTGGTCTTTACTTTGAGAAATAAGAATGTATAATTACTCTCAAAGTTTAACAGAAGAATCGTGATGAAATCGTTCATAAACGAAAATAATATGTTCATCATTAATTAATCAGAGCTAAGAATCGGAAGTTCATGAAGGATTGAAATAAAGTTCAAGATGATCTTCGCTCTCGATTCATCTCTAACCTTCTAACTTTATGTCCTGGACTAACAAGGTGTCTCACAGGTTTCACGTACGATTTCATTTTCAAGTCTTTTTTCACTGCTCTTTGGACTGTCATAGCCGAAACTTCTCTCTCACTTGCTAAAACGTCTTATGAATTGAGTTGGATCTTTTCTAATTGATTTATTTAGCTCTAAGTTGAAATGATGATCTCTTTTCTTGTTGTAACCTCCCCATCCAGTTTTCCTCTCTACTGTTCCCGCTTTTTACTTACAGATTTTGGGAATCTATCATTTAGATAATTTATTCTAACTTTAAATTCTTTTGTCTTTCAATCCCTCTTCACTCAATAATATTTAAACCCTTATTGTCTAAATACAATTTATTGCCAATCCTGTTAAAATATATATGTTGTTGGTATAGTTTGGTATCCCCTAGCAGGAACCTAAATTCATTTACATACAACTAAAGGATTTCGTCATAAATAAACTCCCAATCGGGCCCATGTCTTCTTCGAGAGATACCTCACTCCCTCCCTTTGTCACCAACCCAGGCTCCTTATCTAAACGAGGCGTCCATTTTGAGTAGGCCTGTACATTCTACCCGAGTGCTATCTAAATTAAATTCAAAACCCCGGATTTCGAGACAGTCAGTCTAGGGCTGAAGAAGTCTGGCATAATGTTGTGCTGGTTTGTAATATACTATACCCAGATGAGGTAATTTGGGATTTTTTGCTGTATAATTTATATGCTCTGTAATAATAAATACATTGAGCTCTTTCTGAGGATCAGTTTTAATATTTTATATTACTAGGATCCACCTGGATATACCAATGGATCTATTACCTGTATATATATATATATATATATATGTGTGTGTGTGTGTGTGTGTGTGTGTGTGTGTGTGTGCGCAAGTATGCAGAAAAATAGGAAGGAACACGACAGGTAAATAATCCGAAGTTCCTTAGTATTTTTGTTTTAATTTTTAAGAAGACAGTGCTCCATACATAAGTAGACCTTATATTATAATATTTAAAAAAAAAAAAATACGATCCCTTCGCTACATAAGAGTTCTCATGTTTCAAAAACGAGAGCCAAAACAATCAATATAATTATTAAAATTAAGTTGAATCAATGTGTTGGGTCCCGTTTCATCTTCAAACGAAAATTTAGGAATAAGCTACCTTGTGGTAAATTTTCGCATGAGAAACTCTTATGTAGCGAAGGGATCATATTTTTATAATATATATATATATATATATATATATATATATATATATATATATATACACTAGAGATCAAAAGTTTAGAGCCACCTCAAGAAATAGTATGGCATGAACTTGACAGAAGAGAGAAAAAAAAAATTAAAAAGAGCTCTTAGAGTCATTGAAAAAATAATTAAATCAATTATCGAAATTATACTATGAGAAACTTTTGCAATGAATTCGAAAAATCTGTGCTGCGGTAATTAAGGCTAAAAGAGGATATTTTACAGAGAGCAAAAATTAATCATAAATGCTTTTTCCAATGAAAAATGACCCAGAGCACATGTTAGTACATAATGGCCGTCTAGGAGCTTCTCTTTCGCCGTACAGTCCGCGATGACTTTGTAAGGCTTGCCAATGTTAGTGCAGCGTTACGATTTTCGTACGCTTCCTTGGAGTAACGTCCATCGCAGACAATGACAGTAGGACAACTAATCGACAATCGAGACAATAGTGACTGGGCGTGATAAAAATCTGATGCAATCGCAGATGACGCAATATTTTTCAAGGCCAAACAAATTACATCATAGACCCCGAAAATAGATTCATTCACACCACTGCAAATGACCTAATCTGGGGAATTAATAGAAACGGATTACACCCTGTCACTCCAGTGGGCCTAAAACTGACTGTATGATGAAAGGAAGGAAACTAAAGCGGTTGTTTCGATTAATTTGCACAAGGGTGTCTAGGAAATATATGATCAGAATAGAAAGGAAAGCAAAGATTTCGTTGATAGTTCATACAGGTTAGTTGGTTATATCAAACAAGGGCTTTGAATTTACTCAGTGTGTATTTTCAATTGTAGAGTTTCTGTAATGACAATAAGAATTCATTTCTTTTTTTTACGTTTTATTTTATAATGTATTATGGTTCTCTTGATTAAATAAGAAAAAAACATATGATAAATGAAGCCTTGTATATTATAGTTCATGACATGAAAATTAGTTTTGAAAATATTTTTTGTTTCGATTAAAACTTTTCAATCTCGAGGGGGTGGACTAAAACGTTCATAAGATTATTCCTTGTCGTGAAACATAACAAGGGGTGGAATAACAAAATTGTTTCTTTCCAGTTACGAAGATGACAATGAGGGGGTGATGCTAGAGTCGTGAAATGTTGCATGCATTAATTTCAACTCTTCTTATTAATAACAAAATTGTTTCTTTCAGTTACGAAGGAAGGCTGAAAATGCCTTAATTTCAACTCTTCTTATTAATAACAGGCTGAGTTACGAAGGGGTGATGTTAGGAGTCGTGAAATGTTAGAGTCATTAATTTCAATTCTTCTTATTAATAACAAAATTGTTTCTTTCCAGTTACGAGGAAGACTGAAATGTTGCATGCCTTAATTTCAACTCTTCTTATTAATAACAGAATTGTTTCTTTCCAGTTACGAGGGAAGGCTGAAAAGTTCATAGACTCACTATGAAGGAGTGATGCTAGAGTCGTGAAATGTTGCATGAATAATTTCAACTCTTCTTATTAATAACAGAATTGTTTCTTACCAGTTACGAGGGAAGGCTGAAAAGTTCATAGGCTGACTATGAAGGAGTGATGCTAGAGTCGTGAAATGTTGCATGCATTAATTTCAACTCTTCTTATTAATAACAGAATTGTTTCTTTCCAGTTACGAAGGAAGGCTGAAAAGTTCATAGGCTGACTATGAAGGGGTGATGTTAGAGTCGTGAAATGTTGCATGCATTAATTTCAACTCTTCTTATTAATAACAAAATTGTTTCTTTCCAGTTACGAGGGAAGACTGAAATGTTGCATGCCTTAATTTCAACTCTTCTTATTAATAACAGAATTGTTTCTTTCCAGTTACGAGGGAAGGCTGAAAAGTTCATAGACTCACTATGAAGGAGTGATGCTAGAGTCGTGAAATGTTGCATGAATAATTTCAACTCTTCTTATTAATAACAGAATTGTTTCTTACCAGTTACGAGGGAAGGCTGAAAAGTTCATAGGCTGACTATGAAGGAGTGATGCTAGAGTCGTGAAATGTTGCATGCATTAATTTCAACTCTTCTTATTAATAACAGAATTGTTTCTTTCCAGTTACGAGGGAAGGCTGAAAAGTTCATCGGCTGACTATGAAGAGGTGATGCTAGAGTCGTGAAATGTTGCATGCATTAATTTCAACTCTTCTTTCAGCCTATCCTCGTACCTGAAAAGAAACAATGCAATTCTTAATAAGAAGAGTTGAAATTAATGCAAAACTATACCAATAAATTTGTGATAGAAAGAATGATAACGATTTAACAAAGACGATCATTGTATGAAATCCTCTCCCAATTTAGTGCTGTTGCTGGTCAAACAATTTGGCAGTGAACATCACAATTTGGCTAATGAAAGACTCGTACTTTATGGCCTGGTCAGACAATCATATTTTCAATTCTTTCATGTAGACTGTCAAGTTAATGTATGGAGAACACTGCTTGCGAATATAGATCAAGTGTTCCCGCTGTTCATGTCGAGGTCCTCGACAAAATCCAGAGACGGATATGTCACATGATTGGTCCTGATTCCATCGCTACCTAAGAGTAGAAGAAGCTAACAGAAGCTAATCATTTCAATTGAAGTTTTTTGCTTCTGTTTTTGAAACATGAGAACTCTTATGTTGCGATGGAATCATATTTTAAAAAAATAATTATATATATATATATATATATATATATATATATATATATATATATATATATTGTGTGTATTTAGACAGCATTTTTCATTCATACATGTTTCATTAAATAATATAGACAAGTGTTATCCATTTATTTTATGTAAATTCTTTTCATAACATCTGATAAGCTTAATAACATTATCATTAAACGAAGAAAAGAAATCACAATATTGATACATATTTTTTAATCCAATCTAAGCTTTCGGCTTACATAAGCCATTATCAAAGATGTCAATTACATTACAATATATTAAGCAATACACGGACAAATCAATGATGATAGTCTGTTTCTGTTTACATGGATGATTTACAAGCAACGATAAACACGTGCATATAAGACGCTGGAAGCGAAAATCGCACCGCAGCTAATGACGTCACACATGACCACACGAGAGTGAATTCGAGAAGTATTAAGTATAGGAAGCCGTTGGTATAAACCAATGGCTTCTGTTACCAATTATAGACATTTAAGAATATTTGTGGAGATTTCATAGTTTTATTTTGTATATATATATATATGTTTCATTAATTGTTTGAGATTAGTAGAAGCAGTATAGTACATAATAATGCATCTACTAATCTCAAATATATATATATATATATATATATATATATATATATATATATACCTTTTTGCATTTCTTTGTGACTGCTTGGTCTCACACTGTCCGCTGAGCTGAGATTGAACAATTACATTGAATCAATTGCTTCATCCATCGCAAGGAAAGTTGGTTCCCTGTGTCGCGCCGGAAAGTTTTTTTCTCGCCCGAGTCCATCCTTCAAGTCTCTAAATCAACCATTCGCCTTTGCATGGAATATTGCAGTCATATATGGTCTGGAGACCCTGCTGTTCGCCTTAAGGTCCTCGACAAAATCCAGAGACGGATATGCAATGTGGTTGGCTCTGATCTGGCATCTCGTTTACAGTCGCTCTCTCACAGACGTGCCGTCGCCTCCCTCTGTCTTCTCTACAAACGGTAACTGCTCTGACGAGCTACTTTCCCTAGTTCCCACTAGGTCGGCATCTCAGTTCCAACGTTTCACTGTGGAAACGGTTAAATGTAACCGTCTCTTCTACTCCAATAACTTCATGTCTCGCACTTCCCGTCCGTGGAACTCCCTTCCTCTTACTTGCTTCCCTGATAGCTATAATTTCCAACTATTCAAATGCAATGTCAGTTGACATCTCCAGATGCCTTGATCTATTTCCCGTCCTTCGCTTCATCCTTTCCTCTTTCACGCCTCTTTACTCTTGCTCCCACTCTCTGTAACCCCCTTGTGTGCTAAGGGCACTCCCGCCTTAGTCGTCAAGAGTTTCTCTTTCATCGTACAGTCCGCGATCCCTCTGTAAGGCTTGCCAGTGTGTTCGTACAGCGTTACGCTTCCTTGGAGTAACGTCCATCGCAGATAATGGCCGTAGGGTAACTAATCGACAGTCGAGACAATAGTGTCTGGTGCATGATGAAAATCTGATGTAATATTTTTCAAGGCCAGACAAATTTCGTCATACACCTCGAAAATAAATTCATATTACTGCACACCACTGCAAATGACCTAAGCTGAGAAAAAAAATGACGGTATAGTGAAAGAAGTGAAACTAAAGCGGTTATTTCAATTAATTTGCACAAGGGTCTATTTATAAAACAATTATTTTTGGAAATAATTTAAATAATTACCAGTTGTGGTCTTAAACCGTATATCGTCGTCGTCGGGCTTGGGAGATATGGCGAACTAGGGCTGCCCAGACGTCTAGTTCCCCCCCCCCCCGGCCTTGCTAGCAGAGACGAAAGAAGAGGATAAACCAATACAGTCTGGTACCAGAGCGGCTGCAGGAGTTGCCGGAAGGTAGCACAAAGTGCCGTCCATCCGCCTTAGGGGCTCCACTCCGGGTTTAGAATTCAGAGTTTTCCTTCTCCTAGACCAGTTGTCATAGAACTCAGTCTGTCCTGCTATTTACCCATAGCTGGAGGGAGAAGAAGAGGATTCATACCTTTCCCAAGGTTAATATCACGTAAGTGAATGTAATGGATTCGACTGGAATTCGAACTCGGCTCTCCGATTCCTCAATCCAAGCCGCTATTCAATACACCACCGTGCCGCCTCTAAACTTCGGTGATCGTACGACACCCAGTGTTCCAATGTGATATGGCCGTTATCCATTTTAGGTAGAGGTATAAATTATGAAATGAAAGAAGTTTGTGTTAATTACCTGGAAGTTGGTCTTCTCTAATAATTATGACAGATCCGCAGGTAGAAATTTCTTGGAGGTCTCGTTGACTTTCCTTTTAGCTCCTTGTAAAAAGAAATAAATTAAATTAAAATATATATATATATATATATATATATATATATATATATATATATATATAATACTAAAACATTAATCTTGCATGTATGTATGTATGTATATATGTATGTATGTATGTATGTGTGTGTGTGTGTTCCCCAACCAATTAATGAGCATATTGTACCCTGACCTCCTGCTGATTTCAATGCCAAATTTCATTAAAATTAGACAAGGGGTTCTTCAGCTAGAGCCGTTTTCTGTTTTTAGGGCACTTTTAATAGGACATTTATTATTTGTTTTCGACACACATTCTTATATCAATCCGTGTCTATAAACAAAACTTAGCATATTATATTCCAGCTATTATATGTATGGAATAAAATAAACATTATACATTATAACAACATTATTAAAATAAACATAATACATTATAACAACGTTATTAAATAAATTTAAATATACATAATTGTTGTAACCTAAGAAAGGTTACTGAATAGAATAATTAAACGAAGGTTGGAAATGGACGATAATACTTAGGACAAGAACAACACATATAAGATTCGCCAGCGGCGCGTAGAATTAGTCAACTGCTAGAAGAGAGTCAAGTGAATTTCACAATGAATCTCCAACTGCAGGATATCTACCAACCGCTCCACGCGGTCAGATGTGGCACAAGGCCGAATGTGGGGTATCCGAGCCCGTAGGTTCGGACAAAAAATTCCTGTAGACACTGTATAAAACGGGGTCGGGGCGCTGTTTTCCGAGACGAGACTCTGCTCTTCGACATAGACTCGTCTGTAGATCCTCTCTGCCCGGAGGCAGAGAGTTTGATCAGCACAGCTGGAGACGAATCTCCAAGTGTAGGATAACTACCAACCGCCCCACGCGGTCAGATGTGGCAAGGCTGAATTTAATGCAGGGTATCCAAGCCTGTAGGCTCGGCCAAAAATTCCCCGTCGACTCCGTATAAAACGGTGTCGGGCAGCTGCTCCCCGAGCCCCGAGACGATACCTTGCCCCCGACACAGCCCCATCTGGGGATCCTCTCCGCCCGGATGCAAAGAGCTCGACCAGCACGGCCGGAGACGAATTTCCAATTGCAGACCAACATACAGTATTTACTATTGTATTTAAGTGAATGGATACATACCCATTATCGTCCGTAATTATCCGAAAATAAATATATATTTTTACAATTCCCTACACCACAACTTTTTATAAACACATATCCAAGATGGTGGGAAAGTACTTGATAGTACGCTATGTGGGTGTGTCATTGTATAACGTAATCTGTATGACTGGAAAATTGTATCACATAACTTGATGGTAAATAAATATATCGAGGTACACTGGTTTGCCGCCGTTTCGTATTTTTAAATAAATGTGATAAGGAAGCAACTTTGTATAATAAAAGGTATAATTATTTTAATTTATTATTACGTTTGATCTAAGTAATATTGTATAACGTGAGCAATAATAATTATTACAATAACTTATATTAAAAAATACAAATTATATACTTAATTAATAATATGCGTAATTAATGACTGCTATGCGTAATAATTAATAAAATTGATAATATTATTACCTCATCATTTTGTATCATGAAATGCTTTTAAAAGGAACCCATCGGGTTTATGGGTGGTCTAGTGACAATTGAAACTAAAACCACATTTGATTTAAGAAATAGAAAATGTGCTTAAAAAGAATTATTTTGTTAACAAGAAAAAAAAAACGAGTAAAAACATTTTATAGCAAATAGAATCGAAATTCGTGGTATTAATATTTTCTGTTTTTGTTGAAGTTACAAAATGAAATTGCCTTAAAAATAAAAATAAGATTCAAGAACTCTCAAGATGTCGAAGTCGTCTGCTGTTCGCTACTTATCGGTCTGAATGAAAGAATTAAAATAATAATAATAATAATAACAAAATGGAAAATAATTTGTAGTTAAATCGTAAGCGTCGACGGTTATCTTTTCTTTATGTTTAGAAATGGCAAATTTTCTCCGGAAAAATAAAGAAATTAGTTTAACTTTAAGAGTAGCTTTAAAAGCTGAAAGGTTTGTGCTGCGAAATCTGTAAAAAGAGAGGCAACAACGGCAACAACAAAAATGGCTTCTAAGTAGCATCCAAGCACGCACGCACACACACACACACACGACTCAAATAGTAAACGAGTCGACAATTTGAACAGATCTCGTGAAGAGATCTCGAATTACACAGGAAGTGACGAACCGCGACAATGCCGTAAAATCCGCAGATACAGGACAAAAAAAAAAAAAAAAAAAAAAAGAGAACGTTAAAAGAAAAATTAGAATATGGCGTTTTTTTTTTTTAATCTCTTTTTTTCTTCATCTGAGTGGAAATTATACGAGAAGGCTGATTGATATCTGCCGATCTGTGGACCAGTGAAAAAAAAAAATTTTTAAAATCTGGGCGAAGTAGAAACCTAAACAGACAACAGTGAAAAGGAAGAAAGAAACGAAAAGAAAACACACACACACACACATACATACATACTTACATACACACACACACATACATACATACATACTTACATACACACACACACATACATACATACATACATACATACACACACATACATACATGCATACATACTTACACACACACACACACATACATACATACATACATACATACTTACACACACACACACACACATACATACATACATACATACATACTTACATACACACACATGCATACAAACATACATACACACACACATACATACATACATACATACATACTTACACACACACACACACACACACACATACATACATACATACACACATATATACATACATACATACATACTTACATACACACACACACACAAAACAATCTGGCCGGAATAAAGTTTTTTTTTGTTTTTTTTTACCTTCAGGTTTAAGCGAATTCGATTCTGTGCTGACTTGTCGCCTGCCGGATATAATTCTGAATTATGGTCTGAAAAAAAAAAAAATTAAAATATAGAGATTAAAAAAAAAATCAGAATATTCCAGATTTCAATAGACGTGGCCGATAGTAGTGATGTTAAAACGACTCAAATTTCTTGTTTCAGTAGGAAGCGGCGTGTGTTAGTCGTAGATATGGGTCTGCATTGTTTACAGTAGAAACTATCCTCTAATGCCCATTCATGGCAGAGGACACGACACCCACCCACTCATATATACGGATGCATTAAAGCACACACACACACACACACACACACACACACACACACACACACACACACACACACATATATATATATATATATATATATATATATATAATATCCATTGCATTTGGATATATATATATATATCCAAGTGCAATGTCCAAATACTATATTTTTAAACTGTGCTCAATACGGAGTAGAGATTATTAATAATAATATTTATTAACAATTATTACAAAAACCTCCCGGTTTATAGCATGCTTTTGCTATAATTGTTAATATATATATATATATATATATTGAACAATAAAAAATATAAAAATTAAAACCTTCAAACACACTAGGTTGTATATTAATATACTAGTTTTGGCGAACATGCATATTATATATATATATATTCATACGTATATATATATATATATATATATATATATATATATATATATATATATATATATTGGTCCGGTTAATAAAATTTGAGAAATAAAAAGCCAGCAAAATGATAATATTGGCAATAAGATTGATGATATTTAGCGTTTGACTAAATTTTTATATATATATATATATATATATATATATATATATATATATATATATATATATATATAGAATATTTAAGAACTTTATTGCTATACGCATAGTTGACTTTAGTTTTGGCTTTAATTCTCTTATATTCTATGATATTAAGTTTTTGCTTATTATTTTGTGTAATATAGATGTATTCTTTAAACTATGTTTGTGGACTTGAATTTTCCTTTAAATGATGTAAGATTGAACTATGCTTATCTAAGTTAAATGTAAGCCTTCTCGTCAGCATCGTCGTTGTAAATTTTTCTATTCTTTTTAATTAATTTTCTACGGCACCAGTAAACTGATTCGTGGACTCGAAACGATTAAAACAAAAATAAACAGACATACTATGTCTAAATTATTTAACCAAACCAGTTTGAATGAGAATATGCTGTCTAAATACACACACACACACACACACACACACACACACACACACACACACACACACACACACACACACACACACAAGTATGATTGTGTAAATGGGTAGCAATCCCTCTTTTATACAAGTTTCGTTAAAGATGACTGATAAAGTATTGCAATTAAGCTTTTTATCTCTTTTTTTCTGCGTGACCCCCAAAAACGGGAATTTTTTAACAATCCAATAAAACCAAGAGTGATGGAAGAAAAATATCTTATTCATAGTAATTGAAACCTTAAAAAATGCCATTTAAGAAACAATGATGGAATTTTCATTTTTTAAAAATTACGTCCTGTAGATGGCGTCCTCCTGTAGGAATGCATTCTTGAAATCTGCTGTTGAGATTCCTCATTGACTGCTGCAACATCTCAGCTGGGATACTGTGAATTTCATCTTGAATTCTAAATGGCGAAACGTTTACTTGCTCAAAGTCACTGTCTCGCAGTGTTGCCACTTGCTCATGTCTGGCAATGCGCACTTCAAAAATTTTTTTTGGGGGGGGGGGTCACCCTGTACAAGTGTTTGCTTTTCTGGACACAAAGTAAGTAAAATCTGATCAAAAGTTCTTCGTATCCGTCCGCTTTCTGCTATTCATTTAGCCATTATCAAGGGCTATTTTTATTTATTTTTTTAATTTTTAACTGAATGTGCGGGGTTTTCATATATGTGCTTTTTTTTTTTTATATGTATCTTTTTAGGTGTCGTCTTCTCTCTCCTTGCAAGAACTCTGCTAGACAATATGAAAATTTTATAAGCTAGTAATTATTAGAAATCTTACTTATTATAAAACGCAGATTGTGTGTGTGTGTCTGTTCGTTTATATATTGGATCGGATTTTCTACATTTTTCAACCGATTTCAACAAAACTTCTCAGGACTACGTAAAATTACCTTGCGGTGGTTCTGACAGCGCCAAAAATTGGAAAAAACACAATTGTTTTTGCATGAAATCAACTTGAAAACACGATTAAGAGGCATCACGAGAATGAAAGGGGGACAACTCATATCGAGTTATACTTATTATAAAACCCAAGTTGTTTGTGTGTGTGTGTTTTCGTTTATATATGGGATCGGATTTCCTACATTTTTCAACCGATTTCAACAAAACTTCACTTTTTTTTGGCAGGTAGTATTTCTTATTGTCTTGCACACTTTTTTCTTTATTTTTACATTCAGAATGCTTTTAAAATTCCATTTACAAGACAATTGTTTATAATAAAATTCTATTCAATCGATAGACTCATAACGATTGAAAACAATGTTTTTGTTTGAGTTTGACCAATTCGTAAAAAAAAAAACTAATTAAGACATGCGTGTCCGTCAACCTTAAACAATAATATTTGTCAATTTTATTTTTCAGTCTTTATGATGGTCGATACTTGATCTATCTCTTACTGTTACATCCCAGGGCAACGCAGGGATCTACTGCTAGTTTATGATAATTTAAAACTACTAATAGCTTTTGCACACTTTCCTTTGACGTATATCAGTTGCTATGACTTCTGGGGAAAGATATTGGAACGGTTTTCCGGTTGCTTTCTCCACAATTTCAAAGTTTTCATTTTGCTAGACTTAGTACCACTCAAGGTCAGTGAACCCTGTCTACTCTGAACCCATAGCTGAGTGGGGATAAAAAAAAAATGCATCCTTGCTTTTCTCAAGAGCATTTATAGGACGTGAACGCCACAGAACAGGCCGGGATTTGAACCCTGGATCATCTTTTACGCTGTAGTTTTAAAGTTTTAAACCTATCACCGCTTTGATTATTTTGTCACCAATCTGAAAATATCACCTCGGATAGTAAAGTCATAAGAGACAATTAAAAATAAAAGGCAGCAATCATTTTTTTTCTTCATACGGGTAATGGTGTCTTTGTAGAAAGTAGCTACATTTTTTCCGCTGCTTTTATTCAGTCAGATGAATAAGCCGAATGGTGACGACATGCCATCCCATAATGAGAATAAGAGAACAACTACTAATACAGTAAATACAAAGCACATGGACTGGATTCAGTTTATTCACTTTCATTGACCCCGTCAAATATGGAGAATGGTAATCAAATAAAAAGATGGTAAAAAGTTAGGGATCAGTTTTGTATTGTTCTTTAGTATTAAACAAATCCCCCATTTCTTGGCCATAGTAGATCCGAAAGTCTTGTCACCCCCATACCAAAAAGTAATGAAAACAACAGGAAGTAATACAAAACACCTGGACTGTATTCAGTTTATTCACTTTCATTGACGCTGTCAAACATCGAGAATGGTAATCAAATAAAATGATGGTAAAAAGTGAGGGATCAGTTTTGTATTGTTCTTTAGTATTAAACAAATCCCCCATTTCTTGGCCATAGTAGATCCGAAAGTCTTGTCACCCCATACCAAAAAGTAATGAAAACAACAGAAAGTAATACAAAACACATGGACTGAATTCAGTTTATTCACTTTCATTGACCCTGTCAAACATCGAGAATGGTAATCAAATAAAAAGATGGTAAAAAGTGAGGGATCAGTTTTGTATTGTTCTTTAGTATTAAACGAATCCCCCATTTCTTGGCCATAGTAGATCCGAAAGTCTTGTCACCCCATGCCAAAAAGTAATGAAAACAACAGAAAGTAATACAAAACACATGGACTGGATTCAGTTTATTCACTTTCATTGACCCCGTCAAATATGGAGAAGGTCTGTATGAACGCCATCATTTTCGTGGCAGCCATCTGAAATAGAAAATTATATTATATAGGGGTGAAAAGACTTTCGAAACATCCCGTAGATCACTGTTTTCTCAAGTTTTTCTTCCTTGTGGCCCATTGTTGGTGTCCAAAGAATTTCAGTCCCACATAAGCACAAATAGAAATTACAAAAAATAAACACGTTATTTACAATGGTTCTCCGAATGCCTTGTGACCCACTATCAAAAACTAATGTGAACAATTAATACAGTAGTTCAAAGGACATGGACTGGATTCAGTTTATTCACTTTCATTGACGGCGTCACACATCGTGAAGGTCTGTATGAACGCCATCATTTTCGTGGCACAAAATGATTCGGCGCCATGTCCTGTGTGATAGTTTACGAAGCTGTGGTTTGTTGATTGTTGCAAACGCTCTCCGATGGCGTAATTCAGTTGATGTTTATTCTGGTATCGTTCATACATTTGCAGGCAGCCTATCTTCTAAAATATATGAGCTCGTGTCAGCCATCTGAAATATAAATTATATTATGTAGTGGGTGACAAGACTTTCGGAACATCCTGCAGGTCACTGTTTTCTCGAGTTTTTCTTCCTTGTGGCCCATTGTTGGTGCCCGAAGAATTTCAGGCACAAATAAAAATTCCATCTAAACAGAAAATATATTTTTTTATTTACAAAAGCAAAATGTACAAGAAAATATAAATGTTGAGTAATGACTACACTTGGTCCTAATGTCTACCTATCAAGATTATCAAGTTGAAGTTTCAAGTCTTGATTCTGCAATTCCAAGCTGATATCCAAACTAGAACATCAAAGCTGACAGAACCGGGTACAGCCAAACAGTCACCTATTTAGGTACTGTCCACGTTCGACGTTTTTTAACTTCGGTGATTGTACGAGAGTTGGGGTTTCAACGAGATATGGCCATAAAACGATTGTCTTCAGACGTGAACGGTTAATCAAAGGTCAAAAATAAAACAAAAAAAAAAACAATAAAATACAACAAAAGCCCCCCAAAAAAAAAAAAAAAAAAAACTCAGGTTATCTACAGGGTTGTCCGAAAGTCTTGTGACCCCCTATCAAAAAGTAATGAGAACAAGAAAAGAACAAGTAATACAAAGGATATGGACTCAATTCAGTTTATTCCTTTTCATTGACGCTGTCTCACGTCGAAAAGGTCTGTATGAACATTATTTGCGTGTCAGCCATCTGAAATGGAAAATTATATAATGTAGGGGTGACAAGACTTTTGGTCCACTTTCTTATCCTATTGCTTTTTGGTTGCAGGTGACAAGAGTTTCTGTAAATTGGTCGGAGTAAAATAAGGAATTGGGAATTAAGTAAAAAGTACAACCGGATAATTCCGAAGTTAAGATGAAACTCATGGAGTCATGCTGTTTAACAGAAAAAAAAAATTCCACGTTATTTTTGACGGGTACTATGCGGTGGCGTAACGGGTAGCGGCTTGGATTTAGGAATCGGAGAACCGAGTTCGAATTCTAATCCATTACATTCACTTATGTGCTAATAACCTAGGGAAAGGTATGCATCCTCTTCTTCCCCCAGCTATGGGTAAATAGCAGGACAGACCGGGTTCTATAGCCTTGGATGGCAATTGGTCTATTGCAGAAAGAAATAACAACCTACTACAGGAAAAAATCTGTCTCGTCAGTCATGTATCGAAAGATACATGATTGCCTAAGTGTGTATCGCGTATAGCATATAACTGACTGAATGACGTGCTAATACCACTGGGAAAGGTATGAATCCTCTTCTTCTCCCCACCAGCTATGGGTAAATAGCAGGACAGACTGTGTTCTATAGCCTTGGATGGCAACTGATCTACCGCAGAAAGAAAGGCAACCTACTGTGGGGAAAAAAAGATACATGATCTCCTAAGCGTGTATCACATATGGTAAATAACTGACTGACTATGCTAGTTATATAAACAAGTCAAGGAATTAATACTTACTTGATATTTCTGCTTCCCGACGTGCATATATAGACGAATAAAACATTAGTGTGTGCGCATGCGTAGAATAGGATAGCATGCCATCGTCATTCGTGGTGACACGATGCAGGCCATACATGCAAGGTTCAGTCAGCCACTTTCATTCGCCACTAAGAAATCTGTAAAGGTCGACAACAAGTAAATCCGTTTAAGAGAGAAATACATTTAATAAGAAAATAAAATGCCCCAGTTTTGCTTGACAAATATATAAGGTGTCAACAAACCTTTTTGAGAAAAAGAAAAAGCTAGAAAAAGACAATCCTAAAAAAATAAGGTAGAATGAAAAGTTCGGTTGAAAAATAGAAAGAGTGAGATGAAAAAAAGAATGAAAAAAAAATGAAAGAAAAAGAAACGAAGAAAAATTTGATTTAAAAAAGGAATAAAAGAAGCAAAGGCTGAAAGAAAATAAAAAGAAAGATACGAAAGAAAGAATGAAAGAAAAGAAAAAGAAACGAAGGAAATCTGATTAAAAAAAAGGAATAAAAGAAGAAAAAGGTTGAAAGAAAATAGAAAGAAAGAAACGAAAGAAAGAAAGAAAAGAAACGAAGGAAAATCTGATTTAAAAAAAAAACAATGAAAGAAGAAAAGGTTGAAAGAAAATAAAAAGAAAAGAACGAAAGAATAAAACAAAAGAAAAAGATACGAAGGAAAATCTGATTTAAAAAAAAAGCAATAAAAAAGGAAAGGTAGAAAGAAAATAAAAATAAATAAAACAAAAGAAAGAATGAAAGAAAATAAAAAGAAACGAAAGAAAATCTGATCAAAAAATAAAAAAAAAGAAACGAAAGAAAAATCGAAAAAAAATCAGAAACAATTAAAGACTCAATTATTGAAAGAAAATAAAAAGAGAAAGACGAAGGAAAATAGAAAGAAACAAAAGAAGAAACGTTTTGGAATGTGCATGAAAAAGAAACGAAAGAGATTTTGAAAGAAAAAAACGAAAGAAATAAATGATGGAAAGAAGAGAACGATATTTTAAAAGAAAATAAAAAGAAAGAGACAGATGAAAGATTGAAAGAAATTACAACGAAAGAAGTGAAAGAAGGTTTGAACAAGTGAAGAGAGAAAAGGTGAAAAAAAAAGAAGAATAAGAAAGAAAGAAATAAATAAAAAAGAAAGAAAAAAAAAGAAAGCGGGAATTAGAAGGAAAGAAAGAAATATCTGAGGAAAAAAAATAAGACTGAAAGAAAGAAAGGAAAAAGAAAGAAAGAAAAGAAAAGAAAAGAAAAGAAAAGTGGAAATTAGAAGGAAAAAGAAAGAAATGTCTGGGACAAGTAAGAATAAAACTGAAAGAAAGAAAGAAAGAAAGAAAGAAAGAAAGAAAGAAAGAAAGAAAGCGGAAATTAGAAGGAAAAAGAAATAAATGGTTGAGGAAAGTAAGAAGACTGAAAGAAAGAAACAAAGGAGGAAAGAAAAAGAAAGGAAGAAAGAAAGAAATAGAAAAGGAAATTAGAAGGAAAAGGAAAGAGATGTCTGAGACAAGTAAGAATGAGATTGAAAGAAAGAAAGAAAGAAAGAAAGAAAAGAAAGAAAGAAAACGGAAATTAGAGGGAAAAAGAAAGAAATGACTGAGAAAGTAAGAATGAGACTGATGGAAGGAAAGAAAGAAAGAAAGAAAAAAGAAAGAAAGAAAAAAGAAAATTGGAAATTAGAAGGAAAAGGAAAGAAATGTCTGAGACAAGTAAGAATGAGTTTGAAAGAAAGAAAGAAAGAAAAAATGAAAAAAAGAAAAGTTAACGAAAGAAAGAATAGGAAAACAAAGAAAAAGTGAACGAAAGAAACAAAGAAGAATAGGCAAAGAGAAATAGCAAAAGAAAGACATAAAAAATAGTGAAAGGAAAAAAAAGGAAATAGAAAAATGCGAAAGAGAGAAAATTATAAAATATTGAAAGAAAGAAAAATGGCGAAAGTAACAAAGGAAAACTGCGAAAAGAAAGGGAGAAAAAATAGGGAGAGAAAGAAAAAATAGAGAAACTTAGGAAATAGCGAAAGAAAGAAAGAAAAAAAAATGGTGAAAGAAAGAAAAACAGGGAAAGAAAGAAAACAAAATTACTGAAAGTAAGAAAAAACAGTAAAAGAAAGAAAAACAGGGAAAGAAAGAAAACAAAATTACTGAAAGTAAGAAAAAACAGTGAAAAAAAAAAACAAGAAAAAAAGGAAAGGCGAAAAAAAAAATAGAAAAAACCGAAAGAAAGAAAAATAGTGAAGGAAAAGAAAAATAGTTAAAAAATAAGGAAAAAGAACAAAAGAAAGAAAAAAAATAGTGAAAAAAAGAAAAACAGAGAAAGAAAGAAAATAGTCAAAGAAAGAAAGAAAAATAAAGAAAGAATGAAAGAAAGAAAAAAAAAGACGGAAATAGCGAAAGAAGGAAGATGTAAATGTTTTGATGGAGATCGAAAGAAAAGAAAAAAGGTGAAAAAAAGAATGAAAAATTATCGAAATCTACGAATTATCATGGAAGAAGGAGAAAGCAAAAACGAAGGCGAAAAGCTAAGACAAAAAAGAAAATACTGAAGGAAGGAAATTGATGAAAAAGTAGAAATACCAGAGAAAGAAAGAAAGAAAGAAGGAAAGATAGAAAGAAAGAAAGAAGTAAAGATAGAAAGAAAGAAAGAAAGAAGGAAAGAAAGAAAGAAAGAAAGAAAGAAAGAAGGAAAGAAAGAACGTTGAAAATTAATACACGCATAAAAAGAAGAAAGAGAAGAGAGAAAAACCGTTGAAAAGAACAAACGGTCAAGTTTCTACTCTTTTCTTTGCACTATGGTCCCCATCCCACCTCCAGCTTAAAATGTTTAGGTCCACCCCTTCACATACGTTTTACGTACCAAAAACATTTTCGACATTCTTTTCTTTTACAACACCCAACGTCCCGCACTCTAACCCAGATCCTAAACTCATCTACTTGGGGAGAAATTTTAAAAATTTCCCTTCGGGGAGAAAAGCCAAGAACATGTCTGCAGCAGATAAGTTGACGTCAATCGGAAACAGCGGGATAGGCGACAAATCACGTGACCAGCCGATTTTGGCTGCCATATTTGTTTCAGAAGAAAATGGAAGAGAGAAGCAGTTTAAAAGATGCTGTATATCTAATCACGTTCATTTGAGTAATTACGGCTTCATTCCAGGGATCAAGCTTATATATATATATATATATATATATATATATATATATATATATATATATATATATATATTATAAATTAATTGATTTAAAATGTGTTTTTTTCGTTACACAGTTCTAACCATGTTTCAAAAAATGGAAGCTAAAAGCCCTGAATTTAATTTTGTAATTAAATTAAAGACATTAGTTCTATTTCATCCACAAGCGAATTTATAATATTAATGCTCTGTAAATTTACATTGAGCACTATTTTGTAAAAATAAAAATATCTATAAGAACACCGGATTATATATCTTACTGTTCTGTCTTTTATTTATATACATATATATGATATAAATATATATAATATATATATATATATATATATATATATATATATATAATATATATATATATATATATATATATATATATATATATATATATATATATATATATATATATATATATGAACATTTAGAGACGACAGGCTGTTTCATGCTAGACGCAATCGTCAGGCATGAAACAGCCTGTCGCTCTAAGTGTTGACATCAATATTCGCTTTTATATTTACACACGCTCTATATCTGATATTGAACACTTTATCCCATAAATATAACATACCTTAAGACTATATTTCTTCATATATATATATATATATATATATATATATATACAAATTTCTGTAGTTTACTGCTACCAGCAAGCAGAAATATTTCTTCTCCTGATGATGGCCATTTTGACCGAAACTAGTGGAGGAATCTAAATGAAATAATAATAATAAAAACGAAAGAATATTAATCTACAACCTGGTGCTTCTGAAGATTTTAATTTTTTAATATTTTTTATTGTTCAATATATATATATATATATATATATATATATATATATATATATATATATATATATATATATATATATATGCAAGGAATAAGCGTAATTTAAAAGGCATATCAGTGTAAATTTAATAGCTAAAAAACAAGCGGTTTTGTACCAGTCAAACTTATCAAGTTTATTCCTAGGAAATAAAAGAATAAATATGACTTATGAAGGAGGAGAAAAAAATTCAAGGAAAACTAGAGACCAATAATATTCCGACCCAGCAAACTATTCCTGTTTACAGAGGGAAGGCTTGTGGGATCTGATATATAAGGACTCCAGGACCTTAAGATGATATGAAGAGTGGGACCTTGATAGAATAGAATAACGGTCCATACTAAAGTCAGTAATACAGATGCTGCTATTAATAATATGTTGCACAAAAGATGACCCAAATGTATAAACTAGTTGACTGTTTTTTTCTCCTCCCCCTTCATTAGTCATCTTTAATTTACACGCCTATTCTTTGATTTCCCAAAATTAAACTTGATAAAACTGGAACGAAATCGGCCACAAAGGAGCGTTCGGTAGACAAGGTAGAATTTACTGCTTATAAACTTCAATCTTCCATGAATCTCGTACATTCATAACTGCTCTGGAGGTTAGGCACGTCAGCGTAAATGACGGTTCCGTATAGGATGCAGGTTCGAATCCTGTCAAAGGACGAATATGTTCTATGAAATTTTCCCGGACATTCAGGCCGGTAAATGTTATTTAATACTGTTTATTATAAACAGAGCATTTACTTAAATACTTGTATCTATAAAAAAAAAAAAAAGTTAAACATAAAAATGTCTTTAATAAATAAATTGTCGGATTTTGTCCATTTCTTAATATATATATATATATATATATATAATTATAGAAATATCTATATATTATAATATATAACATATTATATATAATATATTATATAATATATACATATATATATATATATATTATTCTCAAAATATGTGCGTATATGCAGGCATGTGTCTGATCGGATGTTGTTTATGGGTTTCCACAGTTTTCATCCGACTTCGATTAAATTTTTTTTGTTTGATAGATAATTCTTCAGTGTCGGTTTTGAGTCCAAATTGACTGGAAAAAAATTTTCAACCTTGAAGTTCAAAGATAAAATGTTAAAATTTGATGTCTGTAAAAAACAGTGTACAATCAATTTAGTGATTTGAAACCTCAGGCAAAAGATTATTAAAATTATAGAAAAAAATATACTATAAATAAAAATTATCGTATATTAATATTATGGCGGGACGTTCAAGAGGTTCCTTCCTTGCAAGATTGAGAACGCAAAAACGGCCCTTTTCAGAGTCACCCCCCCGCCATTCATATTGTTACCCTCACTCATCTGGAGATGTGCCTCAGTCGCACCCAAATTTTGTTACCAATATTGATTTTCAGGTGGGTTTACTTTAAACTTAAACTGCTTCAATTGAACAGTAAACATTCCCAGTGATGAAACACCCGGTCGTAGACGGTTTATACTGCCAGTTATATTATAATATATATATAACCGAACGCTCCTTCGTGTCCAAATCGGTAAAGGCACGTCAAGCTAAATGACGGTTCGGTATAGGATACAGGTTCGAATCCTGTTGGAGGACGAATATTTTCTATGAAAATTTCTCGGACATTCAGGCCGGTAAATGTTGTTTAATACTGTTTATTATAAAAACAGAGCATTTACTTAAATATTTGTATCTGTAAAAAGAATGTATAAACATAAAAATGTCTTAAAATAATTGTCGGACTTTGTCCATTTTATAATAGGTGACGTCATTTATTTACATTTCATACGCCATGAGCAGATATGAATGTACGTGAGAGATTCATAGAAGATTGAAGTTTAAAGACAGTAAATTCGACCTTGCTAACCGAACGCTCCTTCGTGTCCAAATCGGTAAAGGCACGTCAAGCTAAATGACGGTTCCGTATAGGATACAGGTTCGAATCGTGTCGGAGGACGAATATTTTGTGTAAAAATTTCTCGGACATTCAGGCCGGTAAATGTTGTTTTATACTGTTTATTATAAACATAGAATTTACTTAAATATTTGTACCTATAAAAAGAATGTATAAACATAAAAATGTCTTAATATATATATATATATATATAATAAATTATAAGGAATATATCATTTTTGCAAAATTTGATTTGAAGAGATGAAAGCATGATTCCACAAAATAAATTATCACCTGTAAATATATTAAGGATTCTGTATTCATTATATATATATATATATATATATATATATATATGTGTGTGTGTGTGTGTGTGTGTGTGCGCAGCAACCTTTCTTTTAAACATCCTTTGTTAAATATGACGGAGATGGAAAATTTCATTAGCTTTTTATTTAGTTTTTTCAGCGTTCTTACATTTTCCCGTTTGCTGGGAATGAGAAACTTCAAAAACTGGTCCAAATCCTGCATTGTCCCAAGCACTTTTGACCACTTAGATATTTTCAAGTGGATTTTGTTTTGGATTTGTTAGTTTCTTTTTATGTTTTGACTAAACAGAAAGAATTAATGTGCAGCTGACCTGGTCATAATATAGGATAATTATATTTTTTAAAAAAAAATATATATATATATACTTGTAAGGTCGCCGAATTTCAGTTTGTCACAGCTATCAGTAACCCCTTAATAAGCAAAGCACATCGATCTCATTAAATGAAATTTTTTTCAGATATTATTTACTTTACCTTTGTGTCGAAATCTATTTCACGTTTGTTTTTCTAAAAGTAATAATTTTATATGCATCCAAATAGATAATACAAATAGATACATGCAATTCCAGTATGTGTAGATAATAAGAAATATACATGTAAATTGTTGATGCTAAATAAATAAACCGAATGAACAGAGTTTGTCTTTGATTTATGACATGTGAGAATTTCTTCTCACACACATCAACCCTTGGCAGAGACAAGAAAAGACGTACAATCAACAAGCCTACCTTAAAACTTAAAACAAATTTTATTGTATCCTTACAAAAAAAGATTTTGCCCTTTTTTGCCCCTGGGAACAAGGTGGGGTAGTTCTTCAAAGAATAGGTAGTGTCTTTTACTTTAGTAGGACTCAATTGGTCTCTACGAAGTTGGAGAAGCTGGAATTTGCTGGTCGTTGCTGGAGCATTACCATTTCGGCTGCTGAAGTTGAAACTCGGCTATTGTCGAGATCATGCATAAAGTTCTTCGTGTAGAACGTACACATTTGACGACAGTCAATAAATGACTGTATTATACAGCCTTGAAAGTATTAAGCTGGGACATGACGTCGTCTCTGAAGCATTACCATTTGGTTGCTGAAAAGAATCATTGCCTAATTATTTAGGCTTGATCTTGGGCGCTAAAGGCCCTGCAAAAAGATTCAAAAAATGAGTCATTTCCAATAATATACCGCAACTAAGTTAAAAGACCGTTGAAAAATGCCCGCGAAAAAACTAAGTCAAAATTCGACCAATGAAATTGGTCGTTACAAATCAGCCAATAGGAGCTTTAATTGCAGAATTTCTCACAATGTAGGTATAATGAGTCACAATGCAAAATGTGGTTCTTGCTGTGGTTCGCAATAAAAAAAAATGTTTGAAAAATGCTGGGCTAGCCAATTCTATTGTCTGCACTGATATGACGTGTACGTCCATTATTGTGTTTATATTGAAACAATATCATCTTTATTTTGTCTTTTTCAGATAGAATGAGAAT